CTATATTTAAAAAAAAGAACAAAAAACTAACAGAGTACTCGTATGGCCAACGTTAGTTCATTATGTACACCTAAATACTGCAGACTTTCACTAAAGATTTCACCTTAATGAAAACAAGCAGAACACTAAATGATAATGTTGTAAGAGTATAGGAAGAGCCAAGCATGGAACAGTACTATATATGACGAAGAAAGGCACCATAATGTATCCACTCTGGATACATGAATGGAGTTGTACCCATTCAACTTTGACTCTAGAGTTGAATCTCCTGCATTCAAACTAATCCAACTAAGGACTGGGTGAGATTTTTAAACAATTAACCTCTGTACCTTTGTTTCAGTATAGTAAAATGGAAAGAATAATGATGTTTATCTTATGGAGTTATTGACAAGCTTAAATGAATTAAAAATGTGTAAATTTTTGCAGATGGAAAAGCTGGTCCTAAAATTTGCAAGGAATCGTTAGAAACCAAACTAGCCCACATAATCTTGAAGAATAAAATTTGATATTTCATGCTTTCAAAACTTACAATGAAAAGATGGTAATCAGAAATGTGGTATTGCCCTAAGAGTAGACAGACATATCAGTGGGATAGAACTGAGAGTCCAAAAGTAAACTTATAAACCAAGAAGGATTCCAAGAACATTCAAAGGTGAAAGAATAACAATATCTTCAACAAATGGTTCTGGTAAGACTAGGGTACACTCATGCAAGAAAAATGAAGTTGAATGTTACTTCACACCGTATATGAAAATTAACTTAAAATGAATCACAGATTTAAATATAAGAAGCAAGACTACAAAACTCTTGAAAGAGAGCATAGGAATAAATCTTCATGACCTTGAATTTGAAATGGGTTTTTAGATCTGATACCAAATGTATAAACAATAAAAATTAATTAGGACTTCATAAAAATTAAAAGTTTTTAATCTATCAAGGGACACTATCAAAAGTAAAATGACAACCCATAGAATAGGATAAAACATTTGTGTATTGTAAATCTGATAAGAGATCACTGACAATACAAAAAGAAATCTTGTATTTTATGAACAAAACCTCATTTGCCTGTGAACTAGCACAATCAACAAGTGGGATCTCTTCTTATTAAAAAGCTTCTGCACAGCAGGAGAAACCACCAACAGTGTGAAGAGACAACCCACAATGTGGGAAAAAATCTTCACCACTATCTCGAATCTATAAAGAACTTAAAAAGATCAGACCTCCCAAATTTAAAGACCCAATCCAAAAATGGGCATCTGAAATGAACAGACATTTCTCAGACAAAGAAGTAGAAATAGCAAATAAATACATGAAAAAATGTTCAACATCACTGGTCATTCAAGAGATGCAAATGAAAACAACTCTGAGATTCCATCTCACTCCAGAAAGAATGGCTGCTATCATGAAATCAACAAATAACAAATCCTGGAGGGGCTGTGGGGAAAGAGGAACCCTACTCCACTGCTGATGGGAGTATAGACTGGTGCAAGCACTGTGGAAATCAGTATGGAGATGCCTCAAAGAACTAGGACTGGAAGCCCCATTTGATCCCGCTAGTCCACAGGGGATCCGCTGGGGATCTTCCCCAAAGAATTAAAAGAATCATACCACAGTGATATATGTGCACCCATGTTCATAGCAGCACAGTTTGTGATAGCTAAAACTTGGAAACAGCCCAAATGTCCATCAACTGGAGACTGGATAAAGAAAATGTGGTTTTTAAAAAATAAAATGAAGTACTACTCAGCCATATAAAATGAGGAATTAGAGACATTTATAGCTAAATGGATGCACATTGAGGCGATACTCTTAAGTGAAATAAATAGGACACACATGTATAAATACCAAATAGTTTCTCTGGTATGAGAAACTGAAAGAGTAAATAAGGACTAAAATGCATAATAGGTCATGTGAAATAGGAAGAAAAGGGGCAAAGGGGAAGGAAGTGGGAGGGCTAGGGGAAAGAAAAGAAGGGAATGGAATTAATATGAGAAAATGGAAAAATAGGAAGAAAATCTTTGTAAATAGGGAGGAATGGAGGGGTTGAAGGGAAGGCCGGGCAAGGGTGAAAAATAAGAACCAAGAGAGATTATGTAAAGGTGTAAATTTCCAATGATGAATGCCATTATATTATATACCTAAAATGTACTAATGATCAGAATGAATAATCGATAATGCAAAATAGGAAGAAAAGGCCCAAAAGGGTAGGGGTAGTGGGAGGGGCAGGGGAAAGGAAAGAAGGGAAAGGAAAAATGATGAGAAATGGAAAAAATGGAAATAAAGTCTTTGTAAATAGGGAAGGGTGGAGGGGGTGAAGGGAGGGCTAGGAATGGGGAAAAAATAAGAACCAAGATGCATCATGTAAAGGTACAAGTTCCCAATGAGAAATGTAATTGTGTTCTATACCTAAAATGTACCAATAAAAGAATTTAAGAAAAAAAAAGAAATCTTGTGACTCAACATTATAAACAACAATATAAAAATTTTTTAAATGGGCAAAGATTTGATCAAACACTTCTCGAATATATACAAAATATAAATGATCAACAACCACATAAAACCATATCATTAATCATTAGAGTAATGCAAGTAAAAGCCACAATGAAACTCCATGGCATGTTAGGATGGTAATATAGAGTCTTTGGATTATAATGGCTTGACTTCTAGTTTTTCAAGTTTATGATAGTGTAAAACTGCATTCAAAAATGTCATTCTAGATTTTCACTTTTAGTACAGTATTCGATAAATTACATAGATATTGAATACTGTAGTAACTTGTAAAATAAGCTTTGTGTTAGATTATTTTGCCCAACTGTAGACTAATGTATGTGTTCTAAGCACATTCAAGGTAGGCTAGGTTAAGCTATGATGTTTAGCAGTTTAGGGGTATTAGATACGTTTTTAACTTACAATCCTTCCAGTTTCCAATACATTTATTGAGACATAACCCCATTGTAAGTTGAGAAACTTACATTGAAGGACATTGTAAGTTGAGGAACGTGTAATTTAGAAAACAGAAAACTAAAATATTGGTAATTATGTGGAGAAATTGGAACCCTCATACACTACTGGTGGGATGCAAAATACTGCAGCTCCTGTGGGAAATAGTGGTTCTTCCACGAGCTAAATGTAAAATTACTATAACCAAACAATTCTATTTCTAGGAATATACTTATGAATATTGAAAATGGTTGTTCAAACAAAAGCAGTTTAAAATATTCAAAGTAGCACAATTCACAATAACCCAAAGTCAGAAACAACTTAAATTTCCTTCAAATTTTAAATGGAGAAGCATGGCCAGGGATTTAGCTCAGTAGTGCCAGTGCCTGCCTTGCAAGAGCAAGGTCCTGAGTTCGATCCCTGGTACCAAAAAGAACCAAACCAAACCAAACCAAAACAATAAATAGAGAAGCAAATTTGGTATTATCTATACAATGGAATAATACTCAGTGTTTAAAATGAATGAATACTACGTGCTACAACATGGGTGAGACTTTATCACATTATCCTAAGTGAAAGAAGCCAAAAGGATATACAAAAGTATAGCTCTGTACTTCTATTTATATGAATTGTAAATATAGGCAATTCCATAGAAATATGAAATATGAAGTAAATTAGTGATTGTTAAGGACTGATGGGAACGTACTGATAATTACTATAGGATTTTCTTTTAGAGTAATGAAGAGATTCTTCAACAAGATAGTGGTGACTAATGCACAATATTGTGAATGCATTAAAGGCTCCTGAATTCTACACTTAAAAATGGTCAAAACAATAAACATAATCACGTGCATTTCACTTCAATAAAAAACTAAATGTATGTAAGGAATATAGAGCAGTGTCTGGTACAAAGTAAGTGCTTTATCATTGTTGGCTCTTACTCAAAACCTAACTATATTCGAAACCAACTTATTGTGTAGAAATCTAGAGATGAGCTTCATGGTCTTGGTCCCCTTCCACTCATATGTTGGCGCTCAGGGAATAATGTGATGGTATGAAGAGGCAGAGCCTTCAAGTGTGACCATTATCATAGGTGGCTGGAATGTAAGAGAAAGGCAACTATCTGAATCAGAAGGTTATTACCATAAACAGTATGTTGGAAGACCCGTTCAATTAGAGGGCACAAATACATTTTGTACACCAGAAAAGGAGCAGTAATAAATATCACAGTCATATAAAATCTTATGGTCTTCAATGTAGTTTGGTACCAAAAGCATCTTTCTAATAACACTCTTTTGTTTATGCCACAGAAATTAATCTTGTGAAGATGACCAATGTAGACATATCACAATAACATGTTTAGAACTTAACCAATGTAAACATTTTATAATAACATATCGAGACAATATTTATTGCGGTGTGTCTCCCATAAGATTATGAAAATTACTGGGGGTCCCTTTAGTGAATTAAGACCAGAATAATTATTTTCTGGGTGGCCGCTTCATTATTCACCAAAGGGAGGACCCACGGTTTCTATTTACTTTGACAAACAAACAAAGAAAAATATACATAAGCTAGTTCACCTGCCTTGTGCTACTGTAGCACGCAGGAGATTAGGACTTACTGCAGAGGTTCTAGAAATGTCCCCTTTCCCTGTTCCTTACAAACAATAGGTTATCTCATTTGTTCACTCACTTCTTTCTCTACAAGATTCCCCAAAGCAGTTCCAGCATGCAGCCTAACCAGATTGAGTAATTACAATTACAATGAAATGAAGCACCCACAAAACCAGGAATTGTGTTCTTTCACTTTGCCTTTCAAATCATTTTAAATGTTTTGTCATTACACTATTAGATTCTCTTTGCACAAAATTTAGAAAGTATCAAAAAAATGTTATCAACCATTCCATCACTCAGAAAAATCTCAAGTGGTTTTATTTCCATATTTTAGTTTTAGTTTAGTTCACTTACCACAGAAAACTGCAAAAATAAGTACTTATTAAAGTCATGGTTATTAAAACAGTGGCTAGAAATTTATTATGTAAAAGATACAATTCCTACCTACTGTTAATGACACTGGAATTTCTGTTGTAGAAGGTGCAGGTGAAGTTGCAAGGATGGAAGTTGATGTAAAAATATAACCTGTAAAGTTAATGTGGGGAAATTATATTAAAACATGCTTCCTACAATCTACACAATAGGAAAAAATATTTGGCAACTATTTATCTGACAGGATTAACACTCAGAATACGTAAGGAACTCAACAACATAAAAATAAGTAATTCAATTAAAAATGAGCAAATAATCTGAGTAGACACTTCTAAAGAAAGAAAGAGAGAAACAGAAACAGAAAGAAAGAAAGAAAGAAAGAAAGAAAGAAAGAAAGAAAGAAAGAAAGAAAGAAAGAAAGAAAAAGAAGCTAGGTGTGGGGACACATGCCTGTAAAACACTACAGAAAGCTAAGGTGGGAGGATCACATGTTTGAACCCAGCCTGGGTAACTATTGGCTTAGCAGGAAATTCTCTCAAAATTAAAATAATAACAAAAACAATAATAATATTAATATTAATAATAATTAAAGGACTGGAGATGTGGCTCGGTGTGAAGGCTCTGGGTTCAGTCCCTAATACCACACACAGACACACACACATGACAAATGGTCAAATAATATATGAAAAAGTGCTCCATATGATTAGCCACCAGAAAAATGTAAATGAAAAGTACAATGAGATTCCATTTCACCCTAGTTAGAGTGATTATTTTTTTTAAAAAGCAAGAAATATTGTTAAGGATATGGAGAAAAAGTAACTCATATTCTGCTGGTGGGAATATAAATTAGTACAGCCTGTATGAAGAAAAAATATGAAGTTCCTAAAAGAACTAAAAATATGTCTTCTATATGATCCAGCTATCCCACTTCTGAGCATACTGCAAATCCAAAGAAAATGAAACCCATACACCAAATAAATATCTGCACACCCACTCTTATTACAGCAATGCACAATAGCTAAGACACAGAGTGGGCCCATGTGCCCTTCAGCAGATGAATGGGTAAAGAAATGGAGTTTATGTAGGCTATGAACTATTATTTGCCCAGGGTTCTTACCCTGGTTTGATCCTTCCTAATAGGTAGTATCTATTTTAATAATACTTATTAATCCTTATTATTATCATAACTAATACACTAGTTTAGCTGTGTCAGGCACTGGAGTACATGCAGTGCACTAAATACTTGTTTGGCCCTTCTGCTGTTACTGTGAGGCAAGCACCAATGTGGATAATTATTTAATCTATGTTTTAATATCCATCAGACTTCCAGATGCAGTTTACATTTGAACCCAGGTCTGATTGCTCCTGATGCCTGTGCTCTTACTCAGTACTCTATGTTATCCCCTAAGGAACCTTAGAAAATGTGGGCTGTCTTCTCTCTGTCTACAGAATGCTCAGGAGACCTTGCTACTCACCCTAGTGTGGTTACAGACAAGTCAGTGAGTGAAGTACACCTTGCTCCCCATCTCTGAGCCAGGGACAAGTCTTTCTAACACAGAGACACTGCATTTGAAAGGATGTCACTTACAAGACCCTCAGAAAGAGGCCACCTTTAAGAAGGCTAATTTGATACAGTAATACTTCCGGGTAATTTTTTTTTATTTTAATGAATTGACTTAGATTTTTCCCAAAACCACATGAAACTTAAATCAAAAAGTCTTGTATTCCTGCATCCAACCTCAGTAACAGATACGCAGAGAGGGGATCAACTGTCCCATGATTTCAGGCTTGTGGCTTGTCCCTTTTTGGCAAGAGGAGTAGGAAAAAACATGTTTTGAAAACTGAGGACCATATACCTACCATCACCCCCACTAATTACTAAGTCAGGTGTGGTGAGGACACACTTGTATTCCTAGGTCTCTGGGAGACTGAAGCAAGTGGAGAGCAAGTTTAAGTCCTCCCTGGGCAACTTAGTAAGACCCTGTCTCAAAATGTAATTTAATAAATCCAAATGGGCTGGGAACATAGCTCTGTGGTAGAGCACATTTTGGATTGATATCCAGTACCACAAACACGCACAACTATTTCATTTAGAAATTAATTTTCTCACAAATCAAACCAAGCAACAAATTTATTCACCCAAATATATCTGTCATATTTGATAAAATTCCTTTAATTCCAGCTGGGCTTAGAATCCAAGCAAACTTCTCATACTGGAAAATGTTGATTCCACCACAATTACCAGGCTCCCTTGTGCAATACTCCCATTACTGTCCAAATCAATATAATCCATCTACCAGATTAGAATCTAAGATACTAGCTAATTTATTCATTTAAATAAGATAGAAAAATGGGAGTAGTTTGTATTTTAATCAACGTTACCATATCCGTCAAGCTAAGAAAAGCATCTAACCAAAATGTAATAACATTAAGCTAAAAATTTCACTCACCTGACAGTAGTACTGCAATTGTGATTTTCTCATACATTCTGGGATCCTGAGCTGGCTCACAGAGTCAGTGCAAGAGGACTACTGAGGAGCATAGACAGCATCAGTCTTGGGCCCCACCTGCATGCTGTTATCTTTCTGGCCCACCTTTCTGAGCCCGCTGTCATGTGATAGGCATTGGGCAGCATCTTATATAATGCAAATTTGGTAAAAGCCTGTCAATAAAGTTACATGACTATCTGCTTAACAAGGGCTATGAAAGTGGTAACTTCAAGTGACTGCTTCATGTTAAATTTTCTTGGCATGCATTCAAGGGAATGACTGCTTCCTGTTAATTTACTTTACATAAATTTAATGGGCAAGGCAAGGCCGTAGCCAAAAGCTGCCAAATTTGGCAAAAGAATCAAGCTGTGTGGGCCTAAGGTCAGGACACCAGGCTGTTGAGGAGCCATGACCTTTCTCATTTCGGAGAAGACCTCATATAATGTAAATGTCCTTGTGGAACAAGATGAAAATTACTTTTTATTTTCAGGGTCTATTTTCAAGCTCACTATGTAGCTCAGATCAGCCTCGATCTCAGAGATCCCCCCCACCTCAGCCTCCAGAGTGCTGTGATCACAGGTGTGCACCCCCCCCCCGGGGAAAATGACTTCTTACATGTACAATCAACATATTGGAGAATTTTAATTAGCATTTGAGTGTTCTGGGGTTTGAAGAGACTCAAACTAATGACAAGTCAAATAGCAATAAAAGAGACACATGTAAGACAGCTTCCACTAAAAAATGAATTAACAGAGTAGCCAGTGGCCGTGCTTGGTGGAGCCAGTGAGTGGGTTCTCTCCAAAATATTATGGTTCGCTATGTTATCATGAGTTATTAACCAAGACAACGAATGCAAACACTCTAAAACAAACACTCAAACTCCAAACCATATTGGAAAGCAGGTTAAAGGTAGAGGTGTGGAACAGCCACCTCTATGAGAATAGGACACGCGAAAGCAAGGGATGTTTTGCTCAAGGTCACTGGAAGGTTAATACAGGTACCCATCTTCTTTGCGGGGATAGGTTGATATTTCCTGTCATGATTAAAGAGCAGCAAAAACCTGGTGCGTTCTGGGTGTGAGAATTGTCAGATTTCTCATCTCACAGATTGTGACGGAGCGGTATGGTGCCCTCTAGTGGTGTATCTGTATAATAGGAGGAAAAATGTGTGCCCCGAAAATACAACAAAAAAATACACACATTCACACATACACACAAATAAATATACCTTTCTCCAGCTTTCTTTATATTCTTGTGAAAACACATGTCCAGGAGTATTATGAAGTCTCACCTATGAGATAAGTGTGTTTGACAGATCATCTATCGTTTGAGAATGTAGAATCTGTGCCTAAAGCACATACTTTTGAATCATTTAATCAAATATAATAACCTCATCCCAATTTCCTTGTACTATATGCTTGAAGACCATTTTTATGAGTCACGGCTATGACATGGTCAAGGAGAAAGATGAAATTTGTTATTGGAAGCCAGGAAAACCTACTTGGACTGATGAATACAGACTGACACCTTATCTGCTTCATGACAGGGAAACAGCCATTTATTTTTGTCAGTCACTTCTCTTTCAACTCCCTCTGGCTCAGATTACTTCTAAAGGTGCTTGCCTGCTAGTCTGACCTACTACTGGAAAGTCTGCTTTTCATGTTTTGCATAGAGGTCCCGAGAAAATAGAAAAGGCAGAGAAGTTAAATGGCACTGATCTACACTGCTTGCCTCCTTGGTACCTTGTCATCTTAGGAATCCCCACAATGGTTTCCAGGGTGATCTAACCACTTTCCATGACCATCTTGGTTAGATTATCACTTCCAGACTTTAAAAACAGGAAATATAAGAGTAGGCAAATTTGCCACTCAAAATAACCCTGTTAGCAAAGCAGAACTCATCATATCGTTCTTTTGCTGCATGGTAAGTACATGGTGAGGAAACTAAGCTGTGGTAAGAGACTGCAAATGGATTCCTTGATCAGATTTGACCACAAGTGTTTTTTAAGCCTATTAATTTAGTTTTCTATTTTAATAGGAAGAATATTTTAATTAAAAATCAGAAGGAAATTATGACCATTAAATGTTTGAAAAAACGTGACAGTGAAGTTATTCATGCCTGGTGTTTTATTTGTAAGAAAGGTTTTAATTGCCTTAAATTATGAAAACAATTACGTTGTGTGTGTGTGTGTGTGTGTGTGTGTGTGTGTACAATAGAGTCTTGTTATATAAGCCAGGCTAGCTTCAAACTTGCATTCTCCTGCCTCAGCCTCCTGAGTGCTGAGATTACAGGCATGCTCCACCATACCAGGCATGGATCCAATGTTCTTTAATAGACCAAGTACATTTTATTTTATTTCTTCTTGTCTTAATTTTGATAAGTTTTCAATTTTATCTAAGTTGTCAAATTCATCAGCACAATGTTATTCATAAAATTTTCTTGCTACATTTTTTAATGTCTATTAAATTTCTAGGCCTATCTTGTTTTCACTCCCAATTTGGCAGTTGACGTTATCTGTCATGTTTACTTAATAATTCTCAGTATTTTTGAGGAATGAACTCTGGATTTTGTTTCTTTTCTCTGCTGTGCATCTGCTTTCTATTTGAATTATCTTTGCTTTACCTTATTCATTCTACACTCTTTAGAGGTAATTTGGTGGCCTTTATTTCTCACTTGTTAAAATGGACACTTAGGCCATAAATTTGTGTTCTTTCTTCTCTACTAATATGAAATTAAGCCTATATTTTCACTATATAACATTTTAGCTGCATACGGCACATTTTATTGTTATAGTTTTATTATTATTAAATTTATTTATTCTTTTATTTATTTATTTATTTATTTATTTTTGGTACCAGGGATCGAACTCAGGACCTTGTGCTTGCCAGGCAGGTCCAGTGCCACATCCTGGCCCTATAATGTAATTTTAAACACTTTATTCTTTTTCCATTATTTGACTCATGGATTATTTAGAAGTTCATTGTTTATTGTAGCTATTTGGAGATTTTTATTACTTTTTTGCTATCAATTTCTAATTGAGTTCCCCAGCTGTCCATGAGTGTGCCCTGTATTGTTTTAATCCATTATATTTGTAGGAGGTATTCTTTGTACTCTAGTATGTGGTTTATTTGACAAATATTCTATGTATGTTTAAAGAAATGTATTTTTGCAATTTGTTGGCTATAATGTTTTATATACATCAGTTAGGCCAACCTAATTATTCACATTTTATTGACATTTCATCGGCTTCTTTATCAGTCATTGAAAGAGATGTATGAAATATCCTGTCGTGAATTTGTGTCTTAATTCTCCTTATTTTCTTCTTTTATATATTTTATATTATTAAGTACGTGTACATTTTGGATTTTTATGGTATAGTGCTAAATTGTCTTTTTCATGTTTTATGAAACGTTGCTCTTTGACACAAACAATACTTCTTACATTAGATTCACTTTCATGTGATACTAATTTAGCCAAACCAACTTACTTTTATTTAATATTTATATGTGATATCTTTTTTTCATTCTTTTACTTTAAATCAATGTCCTGAAATCTAAAATGTGTCTCTTATAAACAATATAAAGTTGGCCTTTTTAGTCTGTCAAAATTTGTCTTTTAATTGTAGGATTTAGTCTATTTAAATTTAATTAATCAATTTTATTTTTGTATTAAATCTACCATCCTAGCTATTTATTTTGCATTCATTCTTCTGTTCTGTTTTCTTTTCTGACTTTTGTCTTTTGTATGAGTCAAGTATTTTGTTCCTGGGTGGTATAGTCATTTATGTTTTAGGCTGATTTACTGCAGCCTTCTTTATATTAGGCTTGTCAATTCTTTTTTCAATTTTTATTTTTGTTTGTACATGTTTGCAATGTATAATAATCACATTCTTTGTGAGGAGTTGCTCGTGGATATACTACCTCTCCATTCTGTTTTCCCACCCTCCCCTTTTCTTTTCTCCTCCCCCTCCCCATCTCTTGGTCCTCTTGTTTTTTGCAAAAACAAATCTACCTTCCTTCTTTCTAGTATCCTTTTAATTTTTTTCTTTATTTATCTTTTGGGTTCCTTAAATAAAAGAAAGTGCAATGTTAACGCTTGTGTGTATGATTTATTTCACTTAACATTATGATCTCAAATTGTATCCATTTTCCTAGAGATGACTCAAGTTTATCCTTCTTTATGGCAGAGTAGTACTCTATTGTGTATAAATACCATATTTTCTTTATTCATTGATGGACATATAGATCATTTCCAAGATTAAGCTATTATTAATTGTGCTGCTATTAATATGGGTGTGCATATATCACTGTAATAGGATGCCTTTAACTCTTTTGGGAATACACCTGGGTTAAATGCAATTGCTATTTTATTTAGGAATCGCCATACTGTTTTCCATAATGATTTTACCTGTTTACATTCCCACCAACAGTGCAGAAAGGTTCTTTTTTCCCCAAAGCTTCACCAGCATTTGTTATTATTTGATTTTTTATCATAGCCATTCTTTCTGGACTAAAATCAAATCTCAGTGTTGTTTTAATTTGCATGTCTTTAATGATCAGAGATGTTGAACATTTTTTATGTATTTATTGGCCAGTTGAACTTCTGTGGAGCACCAATTTATTTCAGTTGCCATTTTTTATTCATTTAGTTTTTTGGTACATTTTAGGTATACAATATGATGACATTCATCATTGGGAATTTCCACCTTTACATGATATATCTTGGTTCTTATTTTTTCCCCATTCCCCTTCCCTCCCTTCAACCCTTTCACTCCTCCGTATTTACAAAGACTATGAATTTTACAAGACATTTAGAGAAGAACTATTGCCACTACTGTTTAAACTCTTCAGTGAAATCAAAAGGTAAGCAATATTTCCAAATTCATAGCTGGAAGCGAGCATCACCTTGATCCCAAAAGCAGAGAAAGACCCAACTGAAAAAGAGAACTATAGGCCAATCTCACTAATGAACATAGATGCAAAAATCCTCAATAAGATTCTGGCAAACAGAATGCAGAAAATCATCAAGAAGATCACACATCCTGACCAAATGAGATTCATCTCAGGGCTGCAGAGATGGTTCATCATATGCAAATCAATAAATGTAATACACTATATTAATAGAGCCAAGGTTAAAACCCATATGATCATGAGAAATGGAAAAAATGGAAATAAAGTCTTTGTAAATAGGGAAGGG